CTTATTTGGTGAAACTCGTGATGCAATTCTGCTTTTGGTTCGAGGTCACGACTATCTGGTCTTGTGTATATGATGCTGTTTGATTGCTGAAGTTCGCTATTGCTCATCTTCCTTGCAGTATGGCTATGTAGTAGAATCTGTGCTTCTGTTTCACTATGCGTGGCAAAGTGATCACTTTGTTTCCAATAGGCTGTCAGGACCGCCGAGCTTGAGCGGGAAAGATGAAATGACATCGCCCTGGTGGTCTGCAAATTGCATGTAATAAGGCGTAGGCAGAGTCGGGAGTGACTGATGTACTGTACTCTCTTATCATGCCCCGAACCCCAACCTCCCTGTATCTTTGTTGCTCCAGCTATTTGCTATCACCTTCCCCTGAACATGACACATCCTCATCTTCAGTGAGTACAAGTTCTCCCCAGTCAGATACGGTCATGATGAGGGCATATTGTGTTCGGGGGAAGACGGGAGTACACCTGTCTGATGGTGTGTTGTGTTGGGGGGTAAGTGATAGTGAATAGGTGTTCTCTTGCTGGGAGCAACAAAGAGGCAAGGGCGTGGGTCTGGGTTGGGGGCATGATAAGAGAGTATCTGTTACTTACTCTAGATTGTGCCTAAGCCTTGTTACGAGCAATTTGGTAAGGATTGTTGCAGTGTCTGCAAGGCGCTTCAGGGATGTATCCAGCACTGCTGATCGCCGGACTCAAACTCATGATGCGAAGTGATATCTGATCATCTTGCATCATTTATTCAATCACCCATAGCCTACGTTTGAGGATCCCTCTGCCAATATCGTGTCTTAGAATTTAGGTAATATGAAGAAAATAAGTTATTGCCTGCTGTGGCTCCGCCTGTATAAGAGAAAGTGGGCACAGGGCGGAGCATTGCTGGGCGAACGTAGCTGTGAATGTTATGTACTTGCTATGCAGAACTGGCTGAGTGGCCTTGTTTCCAGCGGCAGGTGCAGCTCCCCACCAATAGTCAGGAGCCATCTGCCGGGAGAGTATCACAGGAGGATGCTCGTACCAGCCCCTGTGGCACCTCCCCACGGATGGGGTAAAAACACGTACCCATAATGGTATGTGCTTGCTATGCAGAACTGTTCGAGTGACCCCCTGTGCAAGCTAATCGGCTCCTGTATAGAGGTATGTTTTGTAGAGGAGGCTTATGTGCAGTGGCTTCTACTATGCTGCCTGGCCATAATTTCTACTGTGTGCTGTATGCCATTAGTGACACACTGCCGCCGGGTTGGTATGCTGCGACAGCAGTACATTGTGGGCTGGGGGCCATGTGCAGTGGGTGATAGCCGTGAGCTGGGTGCCGTCTGTGGTGGGGCTGTGGTTCTATGTCAGTTGGGTTTGCTATGTGGGTGGGGCTCAGTACTATGTGAGCAAAAAGAAATGCAGCTGGGTCAGCAGGATTCGAACTCTGGATTGCTATATTTGCAGGTGCACCTGTGTGCTGAGGAAGCGATCTCCCCAACCATCAGTCCCTCTTTTTGGACTCCTCTCTGCTGCCCTGACCGGTTGCAACCCTGTAACAGGGTGTTACATCTGACTCTTGCTGCTATTAGTATTATTGTAGAGTCAGTGTAGACAATCATCCCTTGGCTTCAAATCGCTCGCTGCTGTACAGTGAAGCATCAAGGTTCGTACCCTGAGGATTTGCATCATCATTTTGTTTGGTAGAGTGGTGGTGTGGGCCAGAGGTAGGCGATGTTATATAAGGAAGGGAAAGGGAATGATGATGCTATAAGGAAAGGAAAGGGGATGAATTTAAGACTGGAATGAGCCGTGTCTTAAACCACCAGTACCTCCTTAAAGTGCTCCACGTTAAGGGCCAGCCAAAAGTGGAAATTGCGCCGTTTCCACTTGGCTGAATTGGGGCTACCGGCCCAGGCCCGTTCATCCCAAAAGCCACGCCCGTTAATGCGGAGCACTTTTAGGAGGTACTGGTGGTTTAAACCACCAGTACTTCTGAGGCATTTTCCTCCTCAACCTTGGAAAGGCCCTGCGTGCTAAAAAAAAAAAAAAAAAAACCGGCATGAGCCTCCTTTTAGCTGGTGCCGCCAGCCATTTTGTCCGGTACGCTGGCCCTGGAAAGTTGCGGCTGTAAATCAGCTGCATATTTGTTTTTTAAGCGGGGAAATGCACTGCTGGACCTGTACATGAATTTTTTTATGCTTTGCGTTTGAGACAATTTGTGAAGTTCGCATATCTTGTCTTCGCTTTCATCTTGTGTGTGAGCTTGTTTGCTGAAGTGTGTCATTGATGTACGGTGAGATGTTGTTTGAATCGAGGGCTCATTCCCATACCTGCTCAAATTTTGAAATGGCCTAAATTTTGAAAAGGCCTAATCATAGGCTAAATGGCAACAATGTTATGAATCTTATGATCAATGCTGGTGCGACTTGGCAGTTCATGTTACTCGGCAAAGTTTGTTTTGGCTTGTGCTGTGGTACAACTCTGGACGTGCTTGAGTATGTTAGAGTCAGACTGAATCCTCCTTCAGTGGTAGTAACTGGTTGCAGCAATTTGCTGACTGTGGTTTTTGTGGCCTCTCATATACACCATCCTGTTGATCGATGTTACAGATGGGAAAGCTTCTTCGAATCACAAAGCTAACTCACCTTCAGGGTCGATCATCACCACATGAGACCATGGGAGAGCCTTCATATTCCAAGGGGATAATCCTGACCATAGAAGAACAGGCTATATGGGCCGAATATCCAGAGGTGGTGCGAGCAACAACTTCAGCTGACCTGACTGCAGCGTTTGCAAAGCATGTCATGGCCCCTCTGTTAGGAGAGGAGTATGTCAACCCTGGGGTGAGTATTTGCCCTTGCTCCATCCTTGTCACCTACCCCTTGCACTGGCCGGCAGTGCACCTTCTAGGGGTTGGCCATGGCAAGCTTCCTGATAGGTCCAGGCTGTCATTTTGCTGCAGTTGTTTGTGCTTGTGCTGCGTAGCGGGGGGGGGGTTGGAGAGAGAGAGAGAGAGAGAGAGAGAGAGAGAGAGAGAGAGAGAGAGAGAGAGAGAGAGAGAGAGAAGCGAAGGAGGAGCTTCTTGAAAATGCTGATGGCTACAAGCGAGGGAGGGAGGGAAGGCAGGTTTGCTTTGTTCTCCAATCGTGCTGTGTCTGTCCTTCTGTTGCCCTCACCTGTCACCAGCATTGATCATAACATAGTTGCCATTTGGGCATTTTCAAAATTTGAGCAGGTATGGGAATGAGCCCTCGACTCAAACCCTTGCTGGCTCTTTGGTTTGTTAACCTGTCACTGTGAACCATCGAACCCTGGCATATAGCTGATTGCCCAAAATATACATGACCCGTCTCGGATCCTTTTTGCGGGGTGGACCATCTCCACAGCGAGTGGCCTTTGCAGCCATGGAAGCCTACGTGGACATCCCACTGTGTGGTAGGGAGGACTACAGTGGGCTTGGCAGTGTTGTTCTAGATCCAAAATGGAAGGTTAGCTCTGAAATGTGAATGCCAAAAGCACCAAAAGAAGAATCATTGGCAGAGGATATCTGATAACCATGACAGCACACCCCACTTGGATGAACCTATTGAGTAGTGCCTGTGATGCTGCAGGCACAATGTTAGAGCTAAGAGATTGATTAGGGCTTCAGGGGTGGGCCTTCAGAAAGTACCGCAGGGGCAGTAGAGAGTGGGCAAACTGCAGGGGGCATCATTGAGAGGTTGGACACAGCAAAACTGTGGACTTATATATGCTGATTGCTCGCAGCGATTAGTGAGTCTTTTCTGTTGTTTGCAGTGACATGCCTTATGCCCTAGGGAGAGCAATGGTGCAGTCACTGGCTGGACAAGAAGGCAATTGCCCAGATTGCTAATGACACGTATCATGTTCGACATGCCAAGACCAATGGAACAAGTGCGCAGTGCGTCATCTTACCCAGTCAAGCTCAGCCAGGTCTGGTTGTCTCTTTGCCGCTTGTGCCGGTATTTTTTTTATTTTTTATTTTTTTTCGTCTCTTCCTCACTGAAGTGGGGTAGCCCCTAATCTCATAGTTGCATCGAACCAGATTCAAATACCAGCTCATTTTACCAACAGTTATGTGTGGGCGCAAGCACGTGCTGCATTGCACACATGCGGCATTTAGTTTGCGTGCACAGGGGAAGAGTTGTCCCTATTGGAGAGAATTGGGGAGGGGTGGGGGTTGTGCCACACTGTCACCATTATGCATGGAGCTCAATGAATATGTTCACATCATCACCATCCCCACACTGTGAAAACCGCTAACATAACAGACATCTGATTCAGGTATTGAGCTGATTTGGGTATTGAGGTCCTACCAGCCACAGCCCAGATTGTTGCAGACATAACACATACTGGATGTGTGTCCTAGGGACAAACGGCCCAGGTCGTTGCACGACTGTATCAAATCTCAAATCTGAGCCATCCTGTCCTACCAGTCCAACAACCTAGATTGTTCTGCAATCAGAAATCTCAACAGATTCCAGGTTGCTGGCCTGGTACTTCTGACCCAGGATGGAAGTAGAATCCATCTACCAGCAGGTCCTACTGGGAGTCTTGTGCCACCACCACCCTCTCTCCCTCCCCCTGCTTCTCCAACGGTGTGTGATGCCTGCTGCCCTGCATAGTGTGAGAGGTGTGCGTGTGTGTGTGTGTGTGTGTGTGTGTGTG